CACCAAAGTCAAGAGAAATCCCTCAGAAAGAAAGATTCTAGCATCCTGGAAGCCTACAGTAAAATATTCAAGGAGAATTCAATTATTCAATTACTATGAGAAAAAAGGCTACATTCAGAAAGTACCCAAGTCCGAAGTAGAACAGCAGTGGTTCCTCTCACATTTTCCGGTTATTAAGCCAAGCAAAGATAGGACTAAAGTTCGTGTTGTCTTCGACGAGGCAATGAAGCATGACGGAAAGAGCTTAAATGACAACATACGGCCAGTTTGGGTCTGGCAGGTTTTCGGATGCGGAAATGGTCGTCGAACGAGCCATCAGTTGTCGCAAGCATCCCCGAGAGTGACCGGTTATCTGCTGTTGAAATTAACAAAGAAGAGCCGTCTAAAACCAAGACTCTGGGTGTCTTGTGGGATCCTGAAAGAGATGTATTTACCTTCAGAGTGGAACCTCCTGATGCGAATAAAACCCCTACGAAACGTAATGTACTGAGCGCCATAGCTGCTGTATATGACCCCCTTCAGTTTCTCTCGCCATTCCTTGTTCGGGCTAAAATTTTCATGCAGGAGATTTGGAGAGCAGGGTTGGATTGGGATGACAAACCTTCCAAGTGATCTAGCAACTAAGTGGAAGAACTGTGCTACAGAACTTTCGCAGTTATCGCATGTCGCCATACCACGCTGCTTACGCCTCGCAAACCCGAATAAAATGGAACTACACCTGTTCTCGGATGTCTCTAAAGACGCCTACACATCAGTCGCTTATTTGGTGTGCCAATATGAAGACGATAGCCCCAGGGGCGGATCCAGCTCCTGAGCTGACTGATGCATACATAAGACCTCGCATTTGTAGGCGGGTCCGGGGGTATCCCCCCGGGAAATTTTGGAATCTAGGACCTCGGAAATGCGATTTCCTGCGTTCTGAGCGAACTCTTTTGTTGCAATTCCTATATCAGAATCACAAAAATTTTGCTGCATTTTTGGAAAAACACGCAAAAAAAACATAATTTCTCCACATAAGAAAAAAAATTCTGTTTGTACAAGTGTAATAACAGCAGTGGCAATAAGTCTCTATTAAAAAATAGTCACGTACTGTGCTTCTTGTAGCTTTAACTTTTCCATTGAAAAACATTTCGGCAGAAAATCAACAAAGGTGTATACAGTGTGCTCCACTAGTTGCATTGCTGGACTCAGAAGACAGTGTTATTATGTTGTTTATGAACCACCTTCCCCTATTAATTTCCAATGTTCCATGAGTAAAATCTTCTAGCATTAGAATTTAAAGTAAAATAACATATGGTGCATAAAGATTAAAGGTATTTTGTGCTTTACTGGGTAAATATATGCAACTCTGTCTGATGCTGCTAATCTTACTCTGCATGGACAGTGTGGTTGGCATCAGCTGGTCAATTTCATTTGCCCCTAGGCTAGCTGCCTTTTAGATGAACTGCATGGTGAATAGCCCACACTCTGAATACTATGAATATTGCCTTGTGGCGAGGAAACCAGTAAACTAACACACAACAAACACTGGGTTTAAAATTATATAAATAAATAACTAGGTACACACACGTTTTAAATCAATAGAGACTGTGTGTAAATTAATTTAATGAAGCTATCTTAATTGGAAATTGTTTGTTAAATAAACCAATACCAAACTGTACAATGATAAACATGACATAATTTAATCATATGTCTTCTATCTGTCCCCTTTTGCCTGCCTTTCAACTAATATTAATACAGTACTCCTTTAAGAAAGGCTGCACAGTAGTATTGATGAATATTTAATTTTCCCTATATTATTATCTTGTCAAATATATCCATACACTTATCAATGGTAATCGTAATCTTCAGGGTGGCATGCTGGCTATCCAAAACATAATACTGGGATAATTAGGATTACAAATATATAATTTAATTAAATATATTTTCCAAACTATCCCACTTTTGTGAGCAAATTTCATAATTATAACCTGTATACACCAGTTACAGTATATACAGTATTTATACCGTCCATCATTTTATCATCGATTCTAAGATTAAATCTGTCAGGAGAATGTCATATGATATATACAGCTTATATCAAATTATATTTGCACAGTCAAAGCATATAAACACTCAACTATGGTAGGCGAGCAAACCCAGGTAATCATCTTTGTTTGCAAAATATCCAGCTAGTGTATAGTAATTTCCCAATAACTCAGGCAATGCAAAGAAAGACCCCGTCACAAGGCATGCCAGCTCATTTCCATATAAAATGAAAATGAAATAGGAGGTATCTCCTATTTCATTTTCATTTTATATGGAAATATCAGTGGTATCACTGGAAGTTGCAACTTGAAACAATTACCTTTCATGTAAACTCCCCCTTAGTCTTCTAACCAATGTTGCATTAATTACTATTAGAAATCTCATTAACCTGCAATTATGCTCTGTAATTACATACAGAGACTGATGCAAGTCTTGATCCATTCAGAGTTACTTTCCACCCACACTATAATTTTATTTTTGGTATCCAATCAAAATGCATATGTGCCAGAAGAAATGTCAATTTCACATAATAACAACAAGCTAAATATAGTTGCAATCACTAAATATATCATTATTTAATTATAGCATTAACCAATGGACCTTTCACCTTTTGACTAAAATTTAGATTTCAACAAGTCTAGACAAAAATTTTATCACGGCTTGAAAGAGCATCACAAAATTAGTAATATTCCGAAGTTTCGTTGCGAAATGTTGTAAAATGCGGATAATATAGCCTTGCGAAGTTTGCAATTTTCAGTCATTTTGTATTACAAACGGGAAAAACATACCCTTTTTCCGAAGGAGGTATGTATTTCCCCACCAAAGCGATGACGATTCCCAGACAGGAGCTTATGGGTGCCATTCTCTCAAGCCGTTTAGCTCAAAGTCTTCTGAAAGTCCTGACTGTCGATCGAGTGATCTTTTGGACTGACTCCGAGAATGTGTGGTATTGGGTACGAAACCACAGCCGGCAGTTTAAACGCTTCGTAGCCAACCGTATCGCAGAAGTTCAACGGACGACGAGTCCCGAGCAATGGAAGCATGCACCTGGGATACAGAATCCAGCAGATCTAGCGACCCGAAGACAATCTGCTATGGAACTAGCCAAAAGCACATTTTGGTTGGAAAGACCATCGTTCTTGAAAGATTTCGAGATCTCGGGGCCATCAGCGCCTTCCGTTAGAGAGGAGATGAAAGTTGAAGATATTGAAAAGACAGTGGCACAGACGTACATGGTCCAGGCGCGCGTTGACCTGGGCGTTGATCCAAACTATTTTTCTACCTTCCGTCGCCTTTGTTGTGTGACTGGATGGGTTCAACGATTCGTTACAAACTGCAGACTTGCATGGGAATTACGAAAACGAGACAGAACGCTTTGTTCAACTGAAATACTTGATGTGGAAAAGTGATGGATCAAACAAGCGCAAGGAGAAGCTTTCCCGAAAGGAGAGCGAGAAGGATGTTTACTGCGACTTAGTCCAAAGAACGGTGACGATGGTCTACTGAGGATGGACGGACGTTTGAGACTTGCGAATGAACTATCCTACAACACAAGACACCCCATTTTATTGCCAAAGGAACACGTGGTGACCCAACTCATCATCAAGGATGCACATGAAGAACTCGGACATGGTTCCGGAGTTGAGCAGGTTCTAACACTGCTACGAAGTCGTTTTTGGATCGTAAAAGGAAGACACGCGGTAAGGAATATCGTTGTGTCATGTGCGCAATGTCGACGACGTTTTTCTTTAAAAACAGCAGAGCAGAAGATGGCACCGCTGCCCAGACCGCGACTTCAATCGTTACGAGCTTTCGAAAGAGTTGGAGTGTATTATAGAGGCCCATTTCTAACGAAGCAAGGACGAGGCAAAACCAAAGCAAAGAGATACCTATGCCTATTTACTTGTCTAGCGACAAGGGCTGTTCACCTTGAGATGTCATACTCATTAGACACGGTTTCCTTCATCAATGCCTTTACGCGAATGGTATCGAGGAGGGGGACGCCCGTATATGTTGTATCGGACAATGGGACCAATTTCGTGGGCGCAGAGCTAGCCTGCTCACAGACGTTGTAGTTCTTACGCCAAGCGACGAAATACTACCGTCTGCTTACCCGAGCTGCATATTCAATTCCCTTTGTTTTAGCCATTCTTCTGGCAGTGTTCAAAAAAGTTAGAGCCAATTGCAAGCCACCTTATTGAAAGATTAGCTACTGGGGAAAGCCCTTGCACATGTATTGGAATATATTGTTTGGGTTGAAACTTGAAATTTGTTTACTTGCGTGGATAGATTTGGAAACTATAGCGTTGAACTTCACGATGTTGACGTAGAATAATATTGTGATCATCTTCTCGCATGTTCAGCAAACAATAGGTGTATATAAAGTGCTCAAGAAATGCAGTAGGCGAAATTTAAATTTTTGTTAACAATGACAAACAAGGATATGTCCAAATGTTGCTCTTGATACTTCCTATATGCCATGACTTCGACGAAAACTTCTAAAAGATTAAGCTCTCATTGTCATGTAGAAAAGTGTAGCCAAGTTAGTGTATAAACGTTTCGAAGTTTGGGCGAATTGGAAAATTCATCACGGCGCAATTTTAATAGAAGTTTCTCGGGCTTGTGTTGTGTTTACAGTTTACATTCAGAAGTGGTTGCTCAAACAGCAAATTAGTTTACTTTGAAGCTAATATTTCGCTTTCTAAGCCACAGTATTATATAAAATTTTCCGTCTTCCGAGTTCTGTTGTTTTATAAAGATAAACCATTAAAATTTCAGCGAAATATATTCGGCATTTGATGCTGTCTGGCTAAGATTCATACAGTATAAATATGCCAATCCTGTCCGCGTTTAAAATATAACCGAACATCTTTAATATCCAAATCTGATCATTAATGGTGCATTTTATTACCTGGACAAGTGTCAGTATCTTTAAATTCAAGTTATGTGCAATTTTGATCAAAATTCCTCCAACGACGGCTTTCAAAATATATATTTATATTTATTCCGCTCGTAAATCAACTGACGTCACTTTCCAGAATTTGGAAGGTAAAATCTGATTGGTCGACGTAGCGGAATTCAGTTTGGCGCTTGGGTAAGCAGACGGTAGTATTTCGTCGCTTGGCGTAAGAACTACAACGTCTGTGAGCAGGCTAGCGCAGAGCGGGAGATGGAGGGCCGTAGCGAAGGGGGTATTGGGGGGGTAACCTAACTCTTTAGAATTAACATATTCGGAAAATCAGGTTGGTCGTTCAGAAAATTACGGCAGTAATAGTATAATAAAATTTTCGTTGTTTAATTAAACAGAGAAAATATTATAAAATTGTATCGTCAGTATCATAAACTGATTTACAAAATCACGGCATTTACATGGATAACCAACCTAGTTCCCAGGGCTTTTCCCTTTTTGTCATTGGGAAGGCGGGAAAAGGCCCTGGCACCCATAGATATAGGAGATCTAGATTGCTAACGCATACCTAGCGCAGGCGGGCCCTACATGATAAATCCAAGATGGCGGTACAACAGGGCAAAAAGACTATAAATTCTATTACGAAAATCAGGATTTTTGCATTTTTTGCCCTCGCATTGTTTTGAAACTTATTCGGGCTACTTTTATGGTAAAGAGAAACTTACCGCGAAGATTTTGAGCATATATATGATTGAATTGGATGAAAACTCGCAAAATTATCCATCGATAAAAGTTCGTGTATAGTACTGATATAGTACTATACATGTATATGTAACTTGTACAGTTTTGCTTTAATTTTTGCTCACTATTTGCATAAAAAGCAAATTATAACAGACCATAGATGATAGACCCTCATCCAGTGCTCTCATCAGTTTACTTCTCTAACAAGCAAGGAGGGGGGGGGGGGTACATAACAGTTCATATTTCATAATTATGAGGACAGAGCAGATGATGATGAAAGATGCAAGTATAAAACACCATTCACAAGGCTAGATGTTAACATAGCACAGTATTTCTGGCAATAAAACGTTCCAACTGACCATTTCACACGAACTTTTATCGCTGGATAATTTTGCGATTTTTCATCCAATTCATTCATATATATGCTCAAAATCGTCGCGGTAAGTTTCTCTTTACCATAAAATTTGACCGAATAAGTTTCAAAACAATGCGACGGCAAAAAATGCAAAAATCCTGATTTTCGTAATAGAATCTATAGTCTTTTTGCCCTGTTGTACCGCCATCTTGTATTTATCATGTAGGCCCCGCCTGCGCTAGGTATGCGTTAGCAATCTAGATCTCATATATCTATGCTGGCACCGGCCGGTCTTCTATGTATTCTGATTGGTCAATGACAAGTACATTATTATGCAAATAATGCAATCTTGGATTAATATATTCAAACTTTGGGATAAATTAACATTTTCACGCAAGGAGTGTCATTATTAATACTTTGTAACTGTCAACCTCGTCCCCAGGGTCTTCCTCGTAGTGGCGCGTGAGCTGAGGAAGACCCTGGTAAAATACGATGAAATCTCCAAGATTCTTGGAAATTTATCGCATGCGCAGTAACGACAACGTTATGTTGCTGACTACAATTAGCGCTGGCGCATACGATTTTCTTGCTTAAAAATATACATGTTTTGTTGATTGTTTGTGTATTTATTCTTAAAGTTTTAACAAATTTTACGAAAAATACTTCAGATATAAGCTGTGAACACACATGTACACAAAACTGTGCAACATTCATCATCATATTGTATCAATTTGTCGGAGTATGGTGCTCATATTTGTGACATTGTTTTGTTCGCTTTGGCGACCCTCGTATATACCAGATGCTGTTCGGCCTCAAATGCGACTGAATAAACACCGATAGTGTTGCCTGGAATATGAAATGATATTGATTGATTGTACTGTATATCAAGGTACGTACTATACATATATACTGGATTTATTTTCATACGAGTTTCAAACTATTTCAGCCTTATGAACAATGAGATCACATCACTAACATACAGTCATACAGAAAGACTCCATATTTTCTTATCAAATCTGATTATCGTTACAAGTAACAGTAGAAATGCTTCAAAATTTATTCTGTATGCAAAGCAGGACAGCATGTTTCATTTTGCTTTGGTGGTAGTCACCACTCACCAAATCAAATAGACCATTCCATTTAATAGCCCCCCTATTGAGGTCTGGATATCTTATATGGGGATTTTAGAGAGGGGGTTTTTACCTTAAATTTTTCTGGAGAGTAGCTTAAGAGATTTCCTAAAAATTAGGTGTTTTAGTGATATCCAAAGGGGCAGGAACAATATCCTAAAGGGGTAGAAAGATATCCATAGGGGTTCCAAAATTGCATCTAATGGGATTCCAAAATTATTAAAAGGTATTATGAAGAGACCCCTCAATAGGGTGTGGGGGGGGGGGGCTAAATTAGATGGAATGGCCCAGTGTGCTGCAACAACTTTTAAAATTTGTATATATGTTTTTAAGGCACAATATGTGATGGAGTTTGATATGATGATCAGCACAACCTGAAGGTCTTAACTTAATGAACAACTTATCTGATATGCTCCTAGTTCCAATACTTTGCTGTATATTATCACCAGCTCAGATGTCAGTTGGATCACTTTGAATGAACATTGGTGTGGCACAAAAAAGTGTCTGTATTATGGAGGAGTCTATAAGGACTTAAGCAAAAAGCACACTTTTGGATATTAGTATACTGTAAGTTTCAAATAAGTTTGAACAATAACAACTTAAAATAGAAATTTATTTAATTTGAAACACTTAAAGGAATTACAACATATTATATGATAGTCATATGTACATGATTATAAGTATATTCATTAGTTTTACTAGCTGATATTTATGACCATCCTGGGACAACATTTTATTTTTCCCAAGAGATTTTACTTGCATGATAGTAATAAGTTTAATAGTAACAGAGAACTGTGATGGATATGTGCAAGTAATTATCATTAGAAATACAAATATTAAGCTGTAATTTTGACCATTGTAAATGTATTATTAAAGAAACAAAATACAAAAGTCAAACAAGGCTATTTAACATAATACAGTCATAATACTAGACTGGTTAAAGAACTACTGAATAGAGGGATCGTGAAAATCTTCTAAGATTACTACCATAGCTCTGTAACAGGGAAAGATATAGTGAGTTAAGGTTTCTTCACCTTGATGAACAAAATTATATAGCATTAGAAAACTATAATGCCATCAACTAATCCCCATTTAAAAATTTTCATGTTGGTCACTGTGAAATGTAATCTTGAGGCCATCAAAATGATTGTTTTTAAAATATCTGATTGATGACATGATTATATATATTTCCATGGAATTCAAGTTGGCTTTTTTTCCCAAGTTCATGTAAAATATGGTTCACCTGTTAAAATAATAAAATGTTTATTAGTTGTT